AGCTGTGGTTTCCTTAATTGAGTCAATCCATCTATAATGTGGTCCTGTTTTTCTACATCCTTCCAGTTTACTGAACCTTATCATCTTTTCAAATGAGTCTTGCTGTCTCGCAATCTGTCAAATAATCAGTGGAAGGAGGGAGAACTGTAGATGTCTATGAAGCCTGATATATTTTAAATCTAAATTGATTAGGGTAGTTCTTTGTCTACTTGCTGGAAGCTGGGTCGGCTAAGTAAATCAGAAATTATATATCTTCACCTCCCAAGTTTAGCATTCTTGCTGGTAGACATATTACATAGAAGAAGTGGATCAATTTTTAACTGTTCTGTGGAATATAGAAGCTTTCTTGGGCCTGGACCTCATCCCGGTGGAGATTCAACACTGGGATTGTTCCCACACAACTCTGAGCAGCTGTAGAAGAAGATGCTGCAAAAGTGAGAGTGTATTTGCCACTCCCACTTCGTTGAACTGCAAGTCCTAGAATCCATCAGCCAGTATGGCCACTTTGTCAATGTCCAGAACGACTGAAGTTCCAAGGTATATTTCATACTGCTTGCCATGCAGAAGCAGCCAGACAAGATATGGCTGAATGAGAGTATTGCTTGAAAACCTCTGCAAGTAGAGACAATATGGGACTAGATGGTTGGATAGTTTATCCATAGATGAGTGGCAGATACCTGTGTTTAACTCATTCTGTTTCTAGACTTGTTATTGTTGTTGTTGTTGTTGTTGTTGTTGTTGTTGTTGTATGTCCTCAAGTTATTTTGGATTTATGATTATCTCAAAGCAAACCAATCACATGGGTTTCATGGCTGATGTGTACAAACCTATCACATGGGTTTCATGGGTGATGTGTCCAAGATCATCTAATAGGTTTCCATGGACAACTGGTGAATTGAACCCTGGTCTCCAGAGGCATAGTCCAATGTTCAAATGGATATACCATGTTGGCTCTCTTCTAGTCATGTTATTATAAATGAAGTCTGGATTATTTCATCAGATCTTTCTTCTAAAGAAGAGGAGAGAGGACAACTAAGATTCCTTCCCAGAATCCTTCCCAGTTATGGTTGACATTCTTCTAGGGCTAACTCTGGACATCAGAATGACATTTATTGATCAGGAAACTGCTGTGTTTTTTGCATGTTGAATGCCACACAAACCATTCAGTGACCTGAGTGTGATCCAAGGTGAATCACAACCTCAGGAAGGGACCTACATAGAAAAACCTCAGGAAGGGACCTACATAGGCAGGAAAAACCAAAGAGAAGAGACTGATTCAAGTACAAGTTTGGAAAAGTTACTTTTCTCAGCTAAAGGTAAAGGTTTCCCCTGACACTGAGTTTAATCATGTCTGACTCTGGGGGTTAATGCTCATCTCCATTTCTAAACCGAAGAGCCGGTATTGTCCATAGCATGACTGCATGGAGTGCCA